CTGCGCGGGCTCCCGGGCGGCTGCCCGCTATTCAGGCCCAGGTACCGCGCCCGCCCGTGTCCCCTCGGTCCCCGCGCGTCCCTGCAGGGACCGCCCGGCTCATTCCCAGCGAGGGCGAGGGAAGGCGTGTGCCGCGACCGAGATGGCCCCCCCCCCCNNGGAGGGGGGTTCCCTCGCGCGTCCTCTCGCGCCGGGAGTGGGGGTGATGGGCGGCCCCGCGGCGGGCGCCGGGCTCCGCTGAGAGTCTTGCTGGGAGGTCCGCCCTTGCTTCTGAACTTCGGTTTTCCAAGTTCCCGCGGTTCGGTGTCCCACCCTGGTGGGGAGAAGGAAGAAAAACCTGGACGGGTGGGCGTGGAAGCCGCCCAGGGCCACCGGGTAACGGTGTTGGGAACAGGTGCAGGGGACCCGGGCGGGGCGGAGCGCACTGTCCCCGCGTGTGCCTCTCGGGGCGCCCCTGAGCGCAGGGGTGCGGAGCTGACGGCGGAGCAGCAGCGGGAGGTTATGAGGCCTGTAGTGACCAGGGGGGCGCAGGTCCCCAGGTTATCTGATGCCACCACCGCCCGAGAAGTGGGCAGAGGGGCTGGCGCAGCCCCAGCGCACAGACGGAGAAAGTGGCGCAGTGGCCGGCCAGGCAGGTGTGTCACTGGGTCTCTCTCACCTGTGCTCTGCGCAGCAGCCGACCCCTCTCCCACCGTCGGAACTGCCCGCCTTTCAGTTTTAGCTTAAAAAACGCTTGTTACCAACGCCAGTGTGCTCTGAAGGTGGGTGAACCAGTGATTCACGTGTAGCTGGCCCACCCTTCTTCGTTCATGTCTCGGGGAGGGAAGGGCAGGCCTTGAGTAAAAGTAGGGTGTCCTTGGAAAAGAAGCTGGGATTCCTGTCCTGGAAGTACCTAGAGTGAGTACTTGGGAAGATGAGATGTGTGAGACGGTGGTGTTTTCCTTGGTGACAATCCTCTTTTCTTTCCCTCTCTCTCACACATAGTTCTTTATTTTAGGTCATTGTTCTCAAAGTGTGGTCCAGGGACTGCTTGGCGGTACCCAAGGCTGTTTCAGGAGATTCACAAACTTAAAAAGTCAATTTAAAAATTATTGTTAGTTTACTGTTATAAAGTAGCATTTAAACTAAAATTATTTTTATAATAATACTAAGATGTTATTCGCCTTCTCAGTCTCATTTTCTCACAATTGTACAGAGGTGGTTTCCAGACACTGCATGGTATGTAATATTCCAGCAGAGTAAATGCAGAAGCAGATATGAGGATTTGGCTGTCTTTTTTTTTAAATCAATTTAATTGTTTTCTAGCACCATTTCTCCCCCCTATACCTTCCCCCACCTTCTGATAAGACAGACATTAAAGGGACTTGTAAAAATGAAGAGCAATGACACTCTTCTTACTAAATTTCCTTTTTGTTTTGCAAAACATACTTATAAAAATTTTTAATTAATTTATTACTGTTATTTTCGGATGATTTAATTATATTTAAACATTTTTCTGTTACAATTTCTGATATGGTAAGTATCAGTAGATATTTTGGGGGGCTGCAATAATTTTCTTAAGAGTTTCTTTTCTTAGGGCAATTTTAGGTTTAAAACAAAATTGAGATGGCAATACAGAGATTCCTCATATACCTTTTGCCCCCACACATGTATAGCTTTCCCCATTATCAACATCACTCAACGAAGTGGTACATTTATTATTATTATTATTATTTTACCAGCTGTTAACCTACATTGACACATCATAACCACCCAAAGCCTATAGTTTATGTTAGGGCTCACTTTTGGTGTTGTACATTCCATTCTGTGGGTTCGAACAAATGTATCATGATGTCATTTACCCATCATATGGCATCTACAGAGTATTTTTACTGCCCTAAAAATGCTCCATGCTCTGCCCTCCTCTCCTTCCTGGCAACCACTGATTTTTTTTTTGTTGGCTCCATAGTTTTCCAGAATGTCATATAGTTGGAATCATGTATTAAGTAGCTTTTTCAAATTGACTTCTTTCACTTGGTAACATGCATTTAAGGTTCTTTCATGCCTTTTCCTGGCTTGATAGCTGAGTAACATTCCACTGTCTAGATGTCCCACAGTTTGTTTATCCATTCACCTGCAGAAGGACATCTTGGTTGCTTCCAAGTTTTGTCAATTATGAATAAAGCTGCCCAAAACATCCATGTGCAGTTTTTTTGTGAGGAGACCTCAACAATTTTTAAGAGTGCAAAGAAGTCCTGCTACTTTAAGTCCTGCTTAGTTCGGTCGCGTCCCTTCATACACACATCTGTTCCCACGTTCCTCAGCCTTTTTAGTTTAGTTCCTGGGCTGTTTCTTTGCCTTTTCAATTTAGATAGCTGCAGTTTAAAATATGGATCAGAACTACTGATTTGGGCCAAGTAGAAGTTACTTTCTTGTGAACTGTACAACCTGCTTAGGGACAGAGGGAGAGGCAGCCTGGGTTGGAGAGCCAGCAGGCAGCTTATTTCCTGTGTGACTGTCATCAAGGGAGTTTACCTTACTGAGCTTACATTTGCTCATTCACTGAACGTGTTGTTGGTTTTAATGCTTAAATGAGGCTGTTGCATAGGTATTCAGTAATGCTGACCATGGTATGACACCCAAAAACCCTAACCCCCCCCAAAAAGATAAAAATCCCATTACCCTAACCAGCATTTTCTAATTCTTTCCGATTCTTGTTTATTGACTTCATAATTTCAGAGTTGTAGTAAGAGCATACGCAAAATTTTATATTTTCCCCCCAAGTGATTAAAGATGCTATCTATTTGAAAATTCACATTGTCTTCTCAGATTCGATCTTATCTTATGTTAGAGGGCAATGATCCTTATTTCTCGATGTTTTAATATTCTGCCAAAATAAAATGCCCAACAGGAGACCAGAAATAAAACTTCTATTTGATTCTTGGAGGCAATGTGAGGCCTTCTGTGGCTGGTGCCCCCACCCCCAGGCCTTTGAAGTTAAAGTAGGTGCTGTGTGTGAGTGTCTAGTGGGAAGTTTGCACAGGATCAGGCACTCTCAGGACATAAGAGCCCAGGAAATGGTTCTTCTCCAAAAGAAAGGGCTTGTGCAATTTCCTGTGCACACAACAGGTGCCTCCTCACACAGAACTTCACCCTCTACGCTGCTCTCCCAGGTCTGGTGTGGGCTCAGCCAGGCTCCCCACTAAGGAAAGGATGGCTTGTTCTCTCTCCCTGAGGTGAACTTCAGACTGAGTCCTCACTGTCCTGCTGTCAGGAGTCCCCCAGACTGGGTGCTGAGGGTCATACCAGTCATGCTGAGTATTGTGGCAGCTGGAGGATTCTGGGAGACCTGAGGCTCCTCACTGGGGTTTGCAGGGAGTATTTAAAAACATCTGAAATGTTTCTGAGTTTGTTTCTTGGCATGCTGAAGCTCTTGTGAAGGCCTGGCTGGTGAAGGGTGTGCATGTGTGGCACACATGCCTCAGCAAAACAACCTAAAAAGCCTTACTGGGCATTTCTGGTCCCCTGAGACTTCTCCACGCCCCTCACAGGCTCCCATCCAGCCTGACCGCGCTGTGCCTGGCTGGCTCCCCTCTCCCTTTCTCTTCTTTCCTAGAGTGATGCACATTTCTCTTCCTAACTTTTTCATAGATTTTGTTTCTCTTCATTCTTACTTATACCTGCAAGTATTTCATGGAGACATCCTCATTGTAAAGGGTGAAATGATATGGAAAACTTGAGAGTATCCTGAACTATCTCCTCCCCCAAATGCTTTTTTTTATTGTGGTAAAATATAATACAATACAATAAGAATGTACCATCTTAAGCATCTTTAAGTGTACCGTTTAAGTGCATTAAGTCCTTTTTGCAACCATCGCCACCATCCATCTCCAGAGCTTTTTCATCTTCCCAAACGGAAACTCTGTCCTCATTAAGGATTCACTCCCCCTCTCCCCTACGCCCAGCCCCTGGCGCCCACCATTCTATTTTCTGTCTCTATGAATTTAACTACTGTAGGTGTCTCATGTAAGTGGAACCATACAGTATTTGGCCTGCTGTGACAGGCTTAGTTCACTCCGTCACAGTTCATCCGTGTTGTAACCTGTGTCAGTTTCCTTGCTCTGTAAGGCTGAATCCGGTCATCAGTGGATGGATGCTCGGTCCCCTAACCACTTTTAATAATTCAGTATGTTGAAGGGTTTTTTCTACTTCTTTTTCTATAAGCTCATATGCACTTGCGAACATTATGTTTTATGTAAAAATGATCATACTATGTGTTCTGCAGCTTCCTCTTTTACAATTTAATTCTCATTTTCCTTGATGTAAGGTATGAACACACTTAATACAAATCACACTGTGAGGTTTGTAGTGGAAAGCAGGCCTCCCACCCCCCATTATACCCCTTTTCCCCCTCATTCCCTTTCCTCATTGACACCAGTTCTTCACTGGATTCTGACATTGTTTACCTCCACATTCCTAAATAATGTGCCTAAATGGCACTTTTTTTTTTTTTTTTTTTACTTTCTTGATTTTTACTTTAAAAGTACACAAGGTCACAAAATTAGAGCAAGTTTTAGTTTTTTTGTTGTTGTTTTTTACCTAATTTTGTTCTTACAAGTTTCAAAGTCTGCACCATCAGATATTTAAGCCAGAAACTTTAAATATAAAAATCATTTTGAAATGGACACTGTCAGTTCTCTACTTGCATATTTGAACTGTCAAAATATTTTTTTTCTCAGTGATACAAGTGTATTTATTCTGAAAATTGACAGGGATGAGAATGAATCAGTCAGTGAATCATGGTTCTCTTAAACACTTGTCATTAAATAATTTAGTAGAAAACACAGAGTTCTTCCTTGATTGGAGCTTTTAGTGTTCATGACCCAAACCAGACCCAACTGACACTCAGCACACTATTAAATAACAAAATGTTATTTTTTTACTTATTTTTAATTAAAATTTTTTTTATTATTAAAATAATATATATCTTCATTGATTTCAGAGAGAGAAAGGGAGAGGGAGAGAGAGAGCTGAAACATCAATGATGAGTCATTGATCGGCT